ATTTTTCTCAAGAGAATCATTTCTATCCCTAATGGTGACTCTTTACTGCTCTTATTGCTCTTACATCCACGGTCATACAGTGGTCTACAAGCTCTGCTACGAATGCCTCATAGATGATAAGCTTACAAAATTGATTTTCAACACAGAGAGGATATTGCTACACAACTCATTTATACAATAATTTAGGCAAAGATGATTGTTTATATAAAGCAAGCAGAATAATCATAACCTAGGAAAAAAATATTAGCATATAAAGAACAGATCAATAGGTTAGTATCAGAGTAGAGTAGCAATATGTTAATTAATGCTTTGAAATTCACAATGTCATCAGGTTGCAGAAGTCAACAAAAATGTATTCATCTAGTGGGGTATTATGGCACCAATCTATCTTCCAATATACTTTTATTTCAATTGGTTTAACATCCTTTCATGATCTGGCAATGTGTCTCAGCTGGAGCTCAAATGGATGATTATTGTTCCCCATAAAACCTAAGAGGCAAAGAAAATATTCTGCCAGGGAAACATCTGTGCTTGGTACAGTAGTAAATCACCCTTGCTGCTTATATGAATCTTTAATATAGAGGCACAGGTTGTGTAAGAGTGCTTGTACATTGTTGTATAGCAATCAGGCTCGTCTATATGGTTACACACATCTTTTCTTAAATGGGACAAGCTATTTAGTAAAGTATACTTTTTCTTCAAAACATTCTAAATTGAAACTTGTCAAGTCCCAGTAGCCATTTTTAATCCTCAGAGTTTGCCAGTGATTACCAAAACATCACTATCTACAGACTATAAGATCGGTGTCATTTCACCTCCATTTAATAACTATGCACTGAAATTGTATACCTTACTATTTCAGTTTCTTTTTGTGACTATAATTTCCTTTTTATTCTTGTGTATGCAGACCGTAGATACATATATTTTTTCACTGTACTTCCAGTTTTAATAATGGTTTAGATGGTTCTCAACCCAGTTTTAGTAGTTTCTGCAATCTCCTTTGTTTTCTTTGCTTAATGCCAATAATTTGACTGTTTTCAAATAAACTAACACCCTTTGTATGACCACAAAATGTATCTTTGAATATTTTGTTGCCAGCTGGAAGGCACGTGTCTATGAAGTAACTATCCAAAGGGACACTCATCCCTACTTGCTCAGTTAAATTCAGTTGGCACAATTTTTTGGGGTCAGGTAGTATATTACAACACAAAAGCAACACAAAGTAATCATAAGTGGCTGTTTGCTGTTAGAAATTATTAACTGGAATCATATATCTACATTGCCTTTCTAGGTTGACTTTATTATATATAAGCGTCAAAGCAGCTGTAAAATCTCCCCAAACTTGCTCAGTATAAAATGTGAATTGGCAGCAATGCACTATTTCAAATTCAAAAAGTCAGGTACAAAATGTTGTATAATGCAAGGGTTCAAAATGGCAAAAGGGAAAATGTCCACTGAATTGGCTTAGAAAGAAGCAAAATAATTTTATTATCATTCAATCAAATTGTGGAATTAGAATAAATGCATTTGTCTTGCAAATGTGCTCGCATTCATGGGTTCAGCAATAGGTCACATAATAAAGTGTAGTTCTCACTTGGGATGTCCCAATTGCAAGACTAGAGCCTTGGGTGGGCTCTAGTCCGGATCACAGCTATGAATCATCATAAGGAGTCACAAAAACTCAAGCTGTTGGTAGTCTGTCTTTTGTTTTAACAGGTACACTCTCAACAAGATAGATGGCCTCACTTTTGCAGATATTTTATTAGATCTTGCATTAATCTGCATGGCTTGAAAAACTGTAATATATCTTATACATAGGTTTTTGTTCCCCTCAATTTTGTTTTTGTCGCTCAGAATCTGATTAATTTAAGACATGTGACAAGTCTTGGAGTCTCTGTGGCATATATCCTTCTCTTCATATTGTGCTTAGATATTGATAGACAGCTTTTGTAAAAATACCAGACATTAAGTTTATATAACTTTAAAATAAACTCATAAGTTTTAAACCAGTTTTAGAAAGTATTTAGATCATGAACGGTATAGATTTAACTCTAATCATTATAAAAATAAAATGTGTGAAGTTTAAACTCAACTAAATAATTAAATAATTTTAAAAACTACTTATATATATATATATATATATATATATATATATATATATATATATATATATATATATATTTGGTCTTGAAAACAAGACCAAATGCCTTACTACATCTTTCTAGCTCTTCCTTTTTATAGACAAGAGCACAATCCCATGTTAACTGCCTGACCAGTCAAAGAGTACTTGAAATATATCCAGTTCAAATTAATAAACTTTGTATTTATGTGTACTGAAAAGATTTACTTGCTGTTTACAGCGTGATGTCCATTTGCTAATGTCTATTAGGTGAATGAAAATGTGCTGTTAAGAAAATGTGCATTCCAAAGTTGATTATGTAGTAAATACAACAAAAGCTAAAATATGAGCAAATGCGTTTAATAAAGAATAATAATAATTGGTAGAAAAGGGTTTCTGTTTTGGTGGAGTGACCCTACACTAAGAAAGCTCAGCCTTCCACCCACATTACAAAAAGTGCAACATTGGAAATCAAATAATTTATTTAATACAGTGAAATAAACAGCTAAGTTTTCAAGATATTTCCCTGATTGAAATTAAAATTTTCACTAATTTTTAAATAACATTACTATACCTCAAAAGTGCTAAAACTTAATTAGCAAAATGCTGATGAAATGAAAATACTAGCAATGCTAAATTATACTTGCATCATATAAAAACATATACAGAATTTGACTTCAGAGCAACAATAACAGTTATTTAGCTATGAAGAACATTAAGCACATTTTAATTAACAACTGTGCCAAAAAAGGCTTCATAGACTTTAAGATAATAAATATTACTGGTCTCGATCAGAATTTTATGTGGCATCCAGCAATATGATTACAGAAAGTCTGTTGTGAGTAATAAAAAATAAACTCCAAACTGACGTCTTTCACTGTCAATGTAAAAAAAGAAAACAAAGTTCACTCTTGAGTAGACTGTGATCCCAAGTTCATTTCAGAGTTTCTGAACACACAGTGGTGCAAAAACCTGCTCTAGTTAATGTACTCTCTGTATAGTAATGACGTGTAATTGGTTAATTATTGCAGTGCTTAAGAGAAATATTCACATGCATTTTTGGTTGTTGACTATTCAGGGTTTTTCCAACTTTGTCATTGAAATAAGGAACATAAAAAAAACTCGGTGGTTTAAGAAACAAAAACTAGCCTAGTAAATATTTTACTAATATATCAGAGTTAATAACTTCCCCAAAATCTATCTTTTTGTCTCCTATTAAAGTAATCATTCATGTATGTCACCAAACAAACACTGATTTGGTTGGTTTGAGGCCCTATTTGCTGGATATATTTGGATAATAAAGAGAAAACATAACGTAAAATAACACAAGGAAATAAAGGGCTGTTTTCTGAACAATCCCTCTTTTAAAATCCCTTAATAGCTGGCATATCTGATCACAAATCATTGCTACACTATTTGTGATATCTTGTTAAAGTGTTTCTTCTGTTTTTGACAAAACCCACGTCTAGGCAAACTGTGTGATTCAATCAACACCAATGTAAAAGTTATGTCATGCCGGTAGGTAACATTCTGTAGACAAACTCCAAAAGCAGAGCTAGGCTAATACTTCTCCCCAACTATTATGGAATGGGATGATGACATCACACAGGAGCATACCTTGAAAACCTGGAAGGTACTCATTACTATGCTGAAGAAATTACATTTACATTACCCTACAAGCTTTTCACCAAAGCCTGAAGTTTGAACAGTTTGTCTCCTACAAATAATTTGACAGTCATCTAAATTTGAAATAAGACAAAGATAAATTCCATCCATGAGTTATGCAAGTTACTTATCTTAGTTCTAATGTGCGTAAATATGTGCTCTTTAACCAAAGATGACATATACACCAGTGACTGCCTTTCATATTGTTTGTTTTGAGACAAATGGTACAATTTAAAGAGATTCAGCAGAAATTTACGTATGCAAGAAAAATCCAAACACTCTTTTTCCATAAGCTTGTATTTGCTTCTTATATGTGGATGCAAAAGCATTATTTTGGGTCCTACAATAAACATAGCAGTTCTTGTATGTGTTTTTGTCCCTGTTAGTATGTCTCATTCTCCCGCTGCATATATTCTGCTGTTAACTGAAGTTGACAATAAGCCTCCAATGTTTGCAGAATGCAATGCGGTGTCCCTGCTGTAGATTGTGCTTTTATGATCACTCGATTCCCTTTCCTCTTACTCATTAACTTCATGAGCTTGCATTAAAAGGTTAAAACAAACAGAATAACGTAAGACAGATGTGAGAGGGTAAAAGAAAAAAAGAAAAAAAAAACAGCTGCAGTGTTGTTGGAGACAGAATGAAGTTTTAAACATTTCCATTGTGGAAAATGTTCATTTAAAAAAAATCTAAAAATATATTCATATCATTCTGGATAGGGCCAAAAGCTCAAAACAATGCTATTGAGCATTTTGTTGAAATATTCCCTTCTTCTCTTCACAAATTTATGTTTTCTGCTGTTTCAGTAGAAGATCAAACTGCTCCAGAATACATTTCAAGTGGTTGCAGGCGTACATGTTGATATGTTTACATGTGAACAAATTTATGGTTTCTGTTGTTGTGCCAGGCCTTCGGGCTTGACCCAGGTCTGACATACTCAATTGTTTTTAGAAAGGAACAGACAAAGAAGTGAGTTTGTGGGAATAAAAACTACTTTAGGTGTTCTCAGCATAACATCAGTTTGGTTGGTAAGTCAAGATTCTAACCTGAATGCGTGTTTCACATTATAACCTAAACCCAATGTAAAAAGTTTGTTCAAACAAAACCATGTACACAACTAGTTTGGTTAGAAAATATATAAAACATACAGAAGAATGATTCATTAACAATCTCACAGTGTCAATGAAAATACTCCTTGTTTGAGTAACTAGTTTAATTAGCCTAATTAGGTTATTTCTTCTTTTTTTAAATAACACATTGATGTAATCTTTCCTTGGGTTGCTTATGTTCTGCTGTTAAAGATGCCAGAACAGTTTTCTGCAGGTCAAACCAGATCCCTCCCTGAAGGAGATCCTCCAGTTTAGAAGTCATGTTTAAAAAGGATGGTTTAAATCTTAGATGAAGCTGTCATTGACAGCTATTGTAGGTCTTTTACAGAAAGGCAGATTCAAACACTGAGAATAGAAGACTTCCAAATAGAATGATTATGACAAGTTTCCAGAAAAGGTGCAAGGAGGACCCATGAGGGCAAGTACGGCATTGAAAAGACATGATTTTAATCTCCAGATGCTACAGGTGGGTCACTACACCACAGTGTTCCTCTGCCTGTATGGAGGTGGTGGCAATGCGTTGCCAGCCTTCATAGCAGCCTCAGACAAGTATTCCTGGTTTTCTGCCACAGCAGGGCGAATGCGTCCATTCTGCCGGTAGAAGAAACGTGTGCTGCAGTCCTGCAGGTACTCGGGATTGTGCAATGTGGACTTCGGAGGGAGACTGTGCTGCCAATATTCAGGATTGTCAAAAGTTGCTTTCTTGGCTTTCTTATCAAATGCCATTGTGCTACTGCTGATGCCTGAGTGTAGTGTGTGTCCTGAATGCCCTGGATGCAAGGTATGTGATGGATATGTTGGGTGAGAGAGTAAGCCAGGAGTTACCACATATCCAGTGGAGGAAACGATGTGGCTTGATGTGGATGGGTTTGCTGTCTGCAGGACTGATTGTGCAGTAGAGGACGAAGAACCAGAGATGGAAATGGCACCAGCTAATCCATTTTTGTCCCCTGGGCTAAGGAATGTATTCAAATACAGTGGCTCATTGATGTACTCATCGTCTCCATGGGCAGACTGGCCTATTGGGGCTGCGGTAGCACCAGATATGTGCAAGGTGTGGCAACTTGCTCCATCTATCACTACGTGGGCATCACCATTTCTACGACGTGTGACAAAAGGGTTTTCCTCAACAGGATGGAGATGATCTGGAAGTAAAAAATGGGATTAAAGTTATATCTGTTTGTACTGCCCAGTGTTAGAAGCCACCAGTTAAATGTGTAAACATATAATATATGGGCAATTACAGCAAATAAATCCTGCAATATAAAATGTTCCATAAAAACATTTGCCTCTTAAATTATACATTGCTGTCTTTTAAAGCTGTTCATTTAACCTGAGGTGTTCTTGTTCCTCATGGAAGCCATGTAGCCGTCCTTGTCTCCCTTTTCACCTCGTTCTGATAAAAGACCAGTAGGATCCGCACTGTAGCGCTGTCCGCTTGTCTCTTCTCCTCCGCCTGAGGAAGCAAACAAGCAAAGAAGCAAAGATTGATATTACATTCAATATAGGAAGTAAGGTGGAGAAAAGGGTTATTGTCGAACCTAACCCTAACTCTAACTATTTCATGCAAGCAATTATTTTCAACCAGAAAACAACCAATGTTTTAAAAGAAGTTCATTCTTGTGCATTCTTGCTTTTCATTGACATTACAGACAAACTATTGCTAAGCACTATTTATTATTTTTTTCCTCCATCAATAACTGGTACACCACCTGAATTTATTTGTTTTTGTAATATTCCTCCACTTGCATCATCAATTTATGAATAAGTTGTAGTTCATTCAAACATGGAGAGTTGATTATTTTATATTTAAAGCTATTGACTAAAACATTCAAATGTGACACAGTTTTACGAAGCTTTGTGAGGGTTTACATGATGTATAAACACGGCAAATTTTGCCTCTCAATCCCAATTCAATGACTTTTTCTTTAAATCACAACTAGGCAACACATTTATTAGAAACTTTCACGAATAACCATATACTAGCTTGCATAATGTAGATTAATGACATATATTCAGTACTATACCAACAGAATCTTTTTCTATATTACAAAAAAACATACAGATTTATAATTAAAGATTATCATGTGCAGCTTTGAACTTAACTAAAAAGTCTATGTATTTTTTGAAAAACAATTTCTACAATGGTGCTAATATAACACATAAAAACAACAACTGACTTCTTCATGGTATTTGGTCCACTCTGCTAAAGAGTCTATATTTTAAGATGTTCAAAACATTTTGCTGTTTGTAAGCAATGGGATGACAGGTGTTTTACATCAAGCTTTACCTTGTCCTGGAGTATGAGCTGAACCAAGGGTGTTTGACCTTGGGGACGGTTGCTTTCTGAGGGTGCCATTGCAGCGAGGGTCATCTTGGTTGCCACGACTAAATCCACCACTAATCTGGGTCCCTGCAGTGAGTTCCTGTGAAGGGAGGCTGCTTCCAGACATGGATTGACCCACTCTAGGCAGAGCAGCCAGCATGTCTCCCATGGTAAAAGTTGGATCCTGACAGCCAAATTGATTCTGGACAGAAATAATAATGATTAAAAACTTTTCTTTACACATTGTTAACATAATGTGTGAACAAATAAATCAACAATATAAAAGCAAAAAAAGCTTGCAAGACAGAAGCAAATGCAAAAAGTAATTTTGATTTTTTCTCAGGTGTAGCCCTTACTGTTTTATTAAAGATTTTGATTAACTCTAAAATATCAAAACAATTATTTTCTTCTGGTTTGTTTTATAAATACATGTAAATGAAAGTGAAACAAAACAAAAAAAAAATCGAAAACAAATGAATGACTTGTCTAATGTGTTAAGACTGATTCCATTTTAAGACTGCATTTTACTAAGGTTTCTAATTTTTACAAAAACAGAAAAGGAAAAAAAAACGTAGCATAACAATGATATGGAAGGGGAAGACCATTGGGAAGTCAATTAACATATTTTTTATTAAAAACTTAAAGTAACCATATCAGCTGAGGCCTGCTGTGTACATTTGTATCTGTGCTCATAACAGAAATAATTATTTTTGTTTTTTTTACCAAATCTCTGGGAAAGCTTCACATTAACTTATCTCTCAGCTCCTTCATTTTCATCAAAGGTTTGACTTTAAATTTTTATTTTCATTCTTATTTTTTTAAAGGCTGATATTAACACATTAACAAGAGTATTTGCACACACACAATGGGAAGCAATGGTCAAGTGAAATTTTCAGCTTAGAATTATACTGGATTAATTAATTAAGATGTCAATATTTATTCTATTTCTTATCAACATTTCTTAGCAGTCTACATACCAGTTGAATAAGTATAATGTGATATGGCATTTGGCCCCTACAAGAAAATTAATTAGAGATGGTACATGTGCTATTCATTCACATCTCAGTTTTCTTTATGAGGAGTGTATACAACTTACATTTTTACCATACAAAAATGAAAATGCCAAAAAATGTATTGAAAATAAAACTTTTACAGTAAACAACTATTTCCAGAATTGTTAGATGTCAATATAATCATATTCATGCTTTATGCAAAGTGACAAGACTATGTACTTGTGTAATGTAATTATTCTAAACATTTGAATCTACAACAGGCAAATCCTAAAAGCAATATTGAAAGTGAAAACAAACCTTTACTTTTAGGAAGAGCTGAATTTAAAAAACACACTGTATTGAAAAAATATTTTTCGGAATCAATTTTACCTTTTGAACTTCCTTTTTTTCACTTCACAACAACAGATCTTAATAAGGACCATGGAACACAGCAGGCAGGTCAGGGATGCAATAATAAGGAAGTTCAAAGTAGTGTTTGATAATGAAAGAATAGCACAGCTTTAAGCATCTGTCAAAGCATATTTTAGTCCATCATCTGAAAATGAAAAGAAAACATCACAACTCCAAACCCACAAAGACCTTGCTAAATTGACAGGCTAGACTGGGAGAGAATTAAACAGAAAGCCAAACAGTATGCCAGGGTAACTCTAGGGCTCCACTTCTCAGGTGGGGGGATCTGTTTAGACTCAAAACAACTGTTCTCTATGCAACTGTGCACTTTGTAGATCTTCCCACTATGGAAGAGAGGCTGGAAGAAAACAGTTATTGAAAGAAATCCAAAAGAAATTGTGCCACATAGAGTGCACATTGTTTCAAAGGAAGGTGACCTTCCTTAACATGATGAGATCAAAACTGAACCTGCAGGGCAACAAGCAGGGTTTATCATCTAAAGACATTTCAACCATTTCATTTTGTTGTTATAAAAGTGACAAACTGTGGGAAAGTTCAAGAGTTGAAGTACTATGAGGGAGTGATTTTTTTAAACAATAACAGATGATTACAGTACTACAGTAAGGGTGAATCCAGGTAATTTGATCAGTCTGAAGTTCTAAGAAAGAAAATCAGCATCTACATTGTTATAAAACTAACATTTATTCCACTATCCGGATCAGTCAAATAACATAAGAGATATAGCATTCGAAACAGGAAGATAAAAAAAAAGAAAGAAAGAAAAAACAATATTAGGAAACCGAGCAGAGGCACGTATGAATATGCAAAGCCTGTAAAAGCTTCAAAATAGAGATGAAAACTAGTGACTGCATTCCCTTAAAAACTGTATTAATCATGTTTCCCTAAAATGTACATATCCTTTTTACTCGGAGGAGTCTGCACATTCCTAAAATAATTTACCTTGTTGGAGTCCATGCGTGTGTGAGGAGTGTATGCCAGTGGTGGAATGTTAAAGGAGTGAGGAACCAAATACTCCTCGGCATCCATCAGATCCTCAAGCTCGTCTTCTTCTAGCAGGCTCTGGAAAAACTTGCTGTCATTGGGGCTGGGCAACTTCATGCGGTCATCACCCTATTAAAACAAGATGGTTGATGTGTGTCATCCACAGGTGCACTTTGTAATCACAAAATGAATATGGTGAATAATAATGATGTAGTGCATTACTTAATAATAGTTCTCTGACTTTGCATTGAAGTTTTCCAGATTGCTAAATTTTCTCTGTGGTAAAATTTCTCTTATACCCTTATCTTCTAATGAAATAAAAAATTAAGTGCATAGACCTGATTGCAATAAGCCCAACAGAGTACAGACAAGCTTTTACAATGACTGTTTTTTTTTTTTTTGTTAAAATGGATTGAGAACCCACCTGGATGACCAGGTATCGCTGGGGATCACGAGCCATCCGTGTGAACTCTGCAGCTAGTTCTTTGAACTTGGGTCGACTGTCTGCATCAATCATCCAGCCTGAAAAAAATGTTTTGTATTACATACCTACCACCGGAATTAAATATACATATACACTGAAGATATTAATCGTTAATTTTTCATGGGATAATGAATCCTTTAGCCCCTGACTTCAAGTTTGACCCTAGTACTTGGTATGGTTATTTAATGCTTTTCTCAGCAGCATTTCCAACAGACATAATGATGAACTTATTCTTTGTAAGTCATATGTAAAACAGTTTTCACATTCTGCTGTGTCCAACATGAACAAGCATCGCATTTCCTGTTAAAGTTCCTTACCCCTCAAACTATTTTCATATTATTTTGTGTCACATTGCCATTAAGGTCAAAGTATGTATTTATCAGCCTAAATCAGTGCATTATTGTACAGTAGGAGGAAAAAAAATGTTTCCCCTATTTTACCAAAAGTGAAGGAAGGAGTTGCAGAGATATGGAGCTCAGGTGGAAAAATGTCAAAAGAGCAATTATCAGTAATCACTTTATTTAAAACTGGCAACAATTAAAAATTATTTCAATTTTGCATGAGCATGTATGGCATACACTGTATGAAGAAGATGTCCTGAATGAAACCAAAATGCACATTTTTGGCCTGTGTGCAAATTTCTGCTTGTGTTTCTGTTTCACTATTGCTAAATGTAATTCTGAACAAACTTTTCTCATTGTGAAACAGTGTAGTAGCAATATCATGCTGCGCGGATTACTTTCTTCCACTAGTCAGGGTTTCTAATAAGATGGATGGAGCTAAATATAGGGGCATTTAGAAAGAAAACCCACAAGAGGTTGCAAATGGCACTGGCAATTTGGAGATGCTCAAGAGGAATAAATACATTTTAACATACCGTAATATTACTAGTCGTGTTTTTACTTTAAAATTTTTAATTTTACCTAGCATGACATCATTTATTACAAAGATAGAACATGTCTATCTATACATATGTTGTTGTTCCAGTTAATCATTTAACTTGCTTAAGTGACATTAAATATTTTTGTCTAAAGGCAATATTTTTAGTTGTGTAAAAATGAACAACAACATATTTTCTATTGAAACATGTTTTTACATGTAGTCACTTTTTCAGCCTAAATATAAATACTCTTTCATCACTAGAACAGCCATCTGGAGAAATGTGCTCTTCTGCCAGTTTTACTGTTGGACACATGGATATGACAGCAAAGCAATCATGTGACTCAACCTCATCTGTGCATCAAGGGAAATAAGATGAAATGAACACAGAAGTAATACAGATTACGCAAAACATGATCAAAATTAACTGTTTAGAAGGGAACCTGTCATTACTTTATCAGCACATGTTTCACATATGTGCATTTTGAGCATAACATTGTGCAAAAAGAAAGAAAAAAAATAGTGCAGTGACATGGATATTTCTCTGCTCTCTACTGCTTGCCAGGTTGGCAGAAGTTCAGGGTGGCAGGAAAAGTCAAGGTGGCAATGACAGCCAGAGGCTTCATGTCACTGAGCAGTGGACAGGGCCAGTCTGTAACTGGCAGGAAGTACTTTTTTCTGGCCACAGTAACCAGATGTTATAGTGCTGCCTGATGGCATTCCATGAGTATCTGGCAAATAATGCCAACAAGCTGGTGCTACCACTCAGTCAGTGGGGAGGCAAAACTTTAATTTATGCTCCTTACGTGGTTGTGAACTTAACTTTCTCTCATTTATATACATATATTTGCTGAGTAGCATTCATGACATCAATGAAAACAATTGGCTCAATTCAAAATAACACAGACCTGATTTTAATGTGTGTAATAAAGAAAACCATGTAAATTTAGATGGCTAATTGACTTCCACAGGTTGTTTTTCGTCTCACAAAATATTAATTGTCTTTGTTACAAAGCCAGCATGGATTCAATACCTACAAATAAAATGCCGCCTGGCAAATTATGTCTAAAACCTGGAGTAAATAAAAATGAAAAATAAAACGCATCTTGTATAAAACTGATTTTTGGTGTGGACAACACTGTGGTACTCATAAGATGAAAGAAAATACAAACATTATAACTCAAAATAAAATTCTAAGACAAAATGAAAAGAATCTTAGGATTGGCATGATCATGGAAGAGTCTGAGATTTGGGGAACAGGCAATTACACCATACTTACATTTCTAATGTAATTGCATCAGGGCAATTACAAGATACTTACATTGGAAATGTAAAACAACACACAGGTTGTGTTGTTTTATGCACGTTAAAAATAGTTGTTATTGTTGCACGTACATTTGACCATGACCATATAGACATCAATGGTACAGATCGGTGGCTGAGGAAGACGTTCTCCTTTCTCCAGTAGATCTGGAATATCTCTGGTCGGAATGCCATCATATGGTTTCCCTCCAAAGGTCATAAGTTCCCATATGGTCACACCTTTGAAGACAAAGATGGTTTGAAAAGGAATATTTGATTGAAAATGCTCCATGTTAGTACAGAGGTTATGCACATGTCTCTCACAGCTACAGCAGACTGTAAAAGCGGCTTACCATAACTCCAAACGTCACTCTGGTGGGTAAATTTCCTGTAATGGATACATTCCAGGGCCATCCACTTGATTGGCATCTGTAGTGTAGGAACATGTATTATTGATGTATACATTTACACATTAACAATACAATATGCTAAAAATAAATCTTTTAGATGGGAGAGAAAAGACAAGAATTTCCATGATATAGATTTGAAGTGTTTTATTGTAAAATAACTGACTATTTCAGGCATGTTGGAGAGTAAAATGGCAGATTAAAAGGAAACAAGATTTGGGTAAATCAACATGAAGAATAAATTTTCACACACACAATATCACTCAAACCACCCACCGACAGAAAAAAACAGACTCAGACTAAGATGTAGTAAATTAAGAAAAGACAAACAAGGGAGGTCTGGGATCAGCTTAACACTGTGATTAAATTTGAAGGCCAGTTCCATTGATTACAGTCATAAGGGTTGAGAAGAGAGGAGTTGTGGAAGGTTAGTGTGCCTTTTGTTTAACAGCTACAGGGATAAATGTGCAGCACTGATCACTGACAGAAACCACAATAAGCCTAAAAAGATTAGGAGCGAGAGAAGGAATATCCTTGCTTGTGAAAAAAAAAATGTTAGAAGACAAATCAGAAGTCAGGGAAAGGATAAACAAAGATTAGCAAAGGTCAGAGACCTGTGCTCACACAGCCCCAAGGACAGATTTATTCACTACGTTTACAGGGTTTTGAGATCTCTTCCCCCCGAAGGTAAATAAAACGGTTCAGTAGAGCAGAAGAGTATTTTACGCTGACAAAAAGCATCCTTTGTGATTGGTAATGCTCTTCCTGGAGGCTATGAAACCCTTATTAATGTTAATGCCTATTGTTTCATTTTATGACTCGTCAATGCCACAGTCTAAAGAAATAGTCTAATATTTTCTGTCCAAAACGAAACATGTATAACTACAGACAATAAAGTATGGTAACACGTTGTAATTACAGAAAACTGGCAGACTCTAAAGTGTGATCTTAAATAAACCATTCTTGAACTATAAGCATTTACATTTAGATGGTAGGTGTGTGGAATCAGATGCAGCAGGGAAGACCCACAAAAATTATAAAGCTTTGATATAATCTTCACAACTACCTTTCTGTTTGAGCCAGGATTACATAAGATAACTCTTGCACTCTTTTTACAATAGAATAAAAACAAATATAATTCTGAGCTATGAGAAAAAGAAGGGAAAGGGGGGCCGATGTGTGATTTTGCAAAGTCTTTTTTATGTTGTCTTTAAGAGAAAGTACATAAATAAAGCCAAGTGTTTTGACAAGAAGAATAAATAATACATCCACGGTTCAGTGCATCTGAATGATAACAGCAATTAAAGATTCGTATTAACAGGAAACTTTATGGTCCTGGTAAGTGTCGAATTAATTGTGAGATGTTGCAAATGTTTGTGAAAAAGAAACTGGAGTTCACCTTTCCCCCATCGGCATTATATTCTTTTTCGTTGACATCTAGCAGCCGAGCCAGCCCAAAGTCGGTGATCTTGATGTGGTTCGGAGATTTGACCAGAACATTCCGGGCTGCAAGATCTCGGTGGACAAGTCTACGCTCCTCCAGGTACATCATTCCCTGTAATGCAGACATTCAAGCCCAAGATTACAGATAGTAATTATAATTTTCTACAATATTTATTTAGAACATATATTGTATCAGCACTCAGATATGTGCTTTGATTTACAGGAAAAGGCACAATATACCAACTATAAAGGTCCTACGAGGAGAACTTTTGTGATTTTTTTCAGTCTTACCACAGTTTTTCAATTGGAAAAGTATAATCATCATTCTTATACATAAATATGTGTTGATCTAAGCTTCAGTGCTTCTCCACTCATTCAATTTTGCTTTATTCATTGTCAATAGTACTATCATCATCAACAACATCAGACTTGTAGTAGATTTTTGATACCTCTTTGTGTCATTATCATTACAATTATATTGTTATTTCATTCTGAAAACTCTCAGCAACAACTACAACAAAGACCTTCTAATTGTCAAAGGCCTGCATTGGTAATAAAACCATCATCCACAAGCATCAACAGATCCCATAAGAGTGAAGTGTTGGAGGGCAACACTTCTCTCAATACATTTTTAAAGTCATTTAGAAACTAAGCCTAATCTTCCCTTTTTCAAATTTAATTATTGTTTTAAGATTCTGAAACTATTATTTTTTTTCTCACAAAGTTTATGTGAAAATAGAGGGTTTGGAGGCTACTTTTTCCAGCAAGAACTTTTCCAAAAAAACAATTCTAAACCAAGCATTTACAGTATTTAGCAATACTGTGCAGCTTCAAGGATCTTTTTTTCCCAGAAGTTGAAAAATATTTTTTTTTCTAAAACTACCCAAATAAATATGTGACTGACACAAATGCATATTTTATTTGCACAAGTACTATTGGTTCAAACAGCAAAAGATTTGTTTCCTGTGACATGTAAAACCAAACCTTCTCCCCTATATGCAGTGTTTTCTTGTTACAATAAGAGAATTATTCTCTTTTGTCAAATATTTATGTATTGTCAGCACAACTGCATCAACATAATGAAAGAGCCATTATTAATCTATCTTTAAAATGCATTTACATTTGCACACATAAACAAATAAATACAATGCGAATGAATCTAATTGATAAGATAATTCTAACAAAACATTTCAGTGAAGTCCTCAAGGAACAAAAATCTTTTTCCTGTGCATTCATTCAAATGCTCTTGAATTGCTACAATACATCCTATGCCACATATTTTAAGTGTTTACTGCCAATTACAGATCACTGCAAGCGTAAACTTGAAGAAAATGAGAAATGGGTGGTTGATGGGAGCGGTGGAAACAATCTCAAATTGGACAAGCAATAACAGAAACCACTTTGTTTGAAGTGGCAAAACGACTGAAAATCCAGGTCTTATTTGGAGCTATAACAAATTGTATTTAGCAAGAAAGGGATGAAATGAAAAGAGGAGTGGAAGGAGGGGAGGTGGTTGGGCAGGCTGAAAGTCGCCGAGTAGACAAAGTTGGGACTGTGCTAGAGCACTCTAAAATGTAAGATTACACTGGTGCGGCTGCAATCACCCTGCCTCATTTGGCTACCTCTCAAAGAGGAGTGGGTAGTTTCAGTGCACACCTGCACATTTGCATACAAGCTCAAATGCAACTACAGATCTGTGACTCGCACATTGATGTCCTCACATGTTGTAGATGTCTTATTGAGAGATCACTGCAATATATTAAACATATATAATCAACAAAAAGCCATAAACACAAATTTTCAAGCTGTTAATTCATGGAAATGCAGTATGTATTTTACAATTTACATTACTTCCCTTTGGTTTGATACCATTTTTTACATACTATTTGTATGTATAACTTAGACAGATCAGGCTGTTCAAATGTAAAGCACACTGATGAGATTTTGTTGGCAAGAATTTAACTGGTCATTTCACCAGTTTAAAGTGCTTTGTCTGAAGTGCTGCAATAAAGTAAAATTTGAAAATGATTATGTGGGTTTCCAGGTGTATGTTGGCATTTACTTTAAGCAAAAGTAAATGCTAGCATGGCTATTTGTCTGTCATTGTGTATTGTGCCACATTTTTGACAGATTCTTATTTATACGTAGAGCACCCAGTAATCCCCTCAATTTTCAAGACAATTAAGCAGTGGAGGAAGAATGCAAGGCTTGGCAACCCATGAATTTTAATTTACCAGCACAATGAGATTGAAAAGGGGAGTTGATGGTGTGTGCAGACTCCGAAGTTGCAGCAGACACGCATAAGAAACAAACTTTTTTTTTTGCTTTTTGCTTGGTTGCTTTCATTTACAACCCTCCCACGTGGGCGTGGTGGGAACAACTCTCTGCCCAAGGTTTGTACTTGCAGTAAACCCGGATGCATCACCCACACTGAAGCCAGCAAGAGAGAGCATGTATTTCAGGTGAGCCTGGCACCAAAAAGGAATCCCTAGGTTTCAGACAGACTCTGTTATAATCACACCTTCAGAAAAGTGCTGCTTACCAAGCCACAGGGATCTCGCCTATGCCCCTGCATAGTTATTTTATGAGGGGAAGAAAGCAAAGAAAGGACAGCAAACACACAGAATGTTTAAGTCACTGCATTCAAGAGCAGTAGAATTTTTTTCCCCAAAAAATCCAAGTGGAAGTAGTTCAGCTTGATGTAATAGGTACCATCACCAGCCACCAGCCTATCACAGAGTGCCATACAATGGAGACACAGTCATACAGGCAGACTTCCATACCTGAGGGAAATTTAAAAAGATCAGTCAACTTAATAATCATGCTTTTGGACTGTGGAACGTGTGGAGAACCCGTGCCTGCATAGGGTTGACATACATACTGTAGCAAGACACCAAGCCAATCTTTGAACCCATAAAGATGACTAGTGGGACTCAAATTGATTCACTGAATTCAACCAGACATGTACAATGTGTCTTTATGCAACATGCCCAAAGGGTACTTTCTGTACTCATCTGCTGCTTTAAAAATAAAGTAACAGTATTTAGTCGCTCTCTGAGTGTAGTAGGCAAACTGAATGCAACAATACAAGATGTACAGGTGTTATGTGCTGCTGAGAAATTACCCCTGTGAAGTCAAAAGAAAAACGCCATAAAACATGTTTGCATCCCATTTTGGTTATTTATGCTTAAGTCAAATTCAATTCCCTTCCCAAGTAAACAGACTTGTCTTCAGATGTGTTTTCTGAGGACAGATTTGGCAGCAAGTTAAAAAGAAAAAAAATCAATAAGGATGAGCGTGAGGAGAATTGGTGACCATTTTTCACTGATACAGAAGTCTCTGAGTTGTTTATTATGACAACACACTCAGTTGCTCACATAGGAAGTTGCCAAATCACTCATCTTCCATAAACAGATATCCTGATTCAAATGAAATTTCTTTATGAGGGTATTCATCTAGCACATCCTGTGTTCATTCCTTGTAATTTCTCTGATCTGTCTCCACAAACTTTACAACTTTTTCAGTCTTTGCAGACTTTGAAAAGAGTTGGAGATCACACTCACAGGCTGGTTTCAGATGTTAGATGTATGAGTAACTGGGGATCACAAGCTTAACAACTGCACCTGCTGAGAGATCACAGACTACAGGGTAGAAGATATACAAGTATATTTCTGATACGCTCATTAATTTTAAAATGCTTCAAATATTTTACAAGAGAATTTGATTGTCTTAGTTTTGACAATGTTTTGTGACACACACAGTAACACTTATTTTTCTTTGGGTTGTTAGTGGATATTAAAATGACTTCAGGTGTTTGGATTATTTAAAAAAAGCTAAAACAAACAAAACAAACAAAAAAAAAAAAAAAAAAAAAAAAAAACTGGTAGTCAAACAAAAATATGTTTGACATGGATTTTGTAAAAGATCAATTCATGTTAAACTGCTCAATTCTTAATAGAACATATTTTACATAGAAATGTCAACTCTGAATAAAGTAAAGTTGAAGTCAAACCACAACTGGCGCACATTATTCCACAGATCACTGAGGTGACTAATATTCAAGTGTCCCTCTTTTATGTTTTGTTTGTTTCCTTTTTATCACCATATGATGTAAATTATTTAAGTTTTTATCAATGCCATTGTTATGAGGTTATGTTCATAATAATAATTGAATGTTTTTTTTATCCAGTACTTTGTTTTAAACCTAAATAAGAAGAACAACATTTGCAAAACTAAAAAAGGATGCATTTTTATGTTAGAGCTGCAGTATGTATCTTGTAAAATGTATTTATTTTTTAGATATTTGCTAAAACTCATTATATTGTTACAGCATAGAGCAAGGGTGAGTGAAAAAAAAACAAAAAAAAAAACAAACAAACCAAAACTTTCCAAACCTTATTTGTCCACTTGCTTAGCAAGCAAGTGGACAAATTTAGCTACTATGGTCCTGGAATTATTGTACATAATCAAATGCATTAATTCTCCCAAATACGCAATTTTACTTCATGTATTCAGAGACTTCTCAGAGCAACGAGGTGGCATGGCTTTGTTGTTGTTTTTTTTATTATTTTTAGGTGAAATTATATTTTCCATTCCTCTATATTGCTGCTTTCTCAGGTTAAGCATTAATAAAAGGGGTTGAAGAAGCTGTTCAAAGAGCTTAGGTCAAGTCAAGCGCTTTACTCACTCAATCACCTATAATATCTATTTTTTGACCTGTGCTTTAACTGAGCCAGAGAAAAGACGCCATGATAATAAATGATAAAAGATGGGTTCAAATAAATACTGCTCCAAACCTCAATATATCTATCTGCTGTGACCTCACCATAGTTTTAGATGGATCTTATAAATTTCTTTCAACGGAAATTAATAAAAGGGTTAGAGAAAGACAAAGACACCAAGATAAGCTTAGGCGTCTATAAGTAAAGATGAGCAGATAGCTAGGCAAAACAAAATTGTTGAAAAAAGAGCAAGAATAAAAAAAAATATTAACAAAAATACAAGATTCTGTGAGGGGCTCCCCAATTGATGGCAACAAAATACAGATCAGCTTAAAATTCAAGCCATCACATGACTAAAACAAAACACATATATGTGATACATAGGTGGACA